TCCCTAGCACCCAAACTATCCTATGTCTATTCCCTACCCTGTGCTCCACCTTCCCCTCCCTCCCCTCACCCCACTCACCACATCCTGGTAACCAGCAAAGAACCCACCCCTACCTTTTCTTAGTCTTTTACAGTAGTGGTCCTATGCAATATTTCTCCCTTTGTGACGGACTAATTTCACTCAACATAATGTCCTCAAGGTTCATCCATGTTATGTGGTGGCTTACAGTTTCCTTCTTATTCTTCAATGTAGCATAGTATTCCATTGTGTGTATGTACCACAGTTTGTTTATCCATTCTTCCATTGATGGGCACTTCATGTTGTTGTTAAATGCTGTCACTTGAGCTCTGACTCATAGCAAGCCTGTAGAGTTTTGGAGGCTTCAAATCTTTGTGGGAACAGAAAGTCTGGCGGCTGCCTGGCTCGAATTGCATAGCACCACTGTAAAGGAAGCATTGTAATATTATCTAGAACTTTTGAACAGTGATTGATGTATTGTACTCCTTCCCTGCATTTGCCAAATGTCTCACATTTTCAATTCCCAGGATGCCAGCCCAACGCAGTCTCTTCACATCAATGCAGCAAGCATATGTTGGGAAGGCTGGAGGGTGTTTGTCCCTTCTTTATTTCCTCATATTGGTGGAGACGAGGGCACATTCGGATGTGTCTGGCAGGGAGATGTCAAGAGTCAGTGCGCTGCCTCACAAGGAACCCTCAGTGGAGGGGCGCACCAGGAAATCACGTCCTGTCTCCCCCTGTCCAGCGCATAAGGTCGTGCTTCCTCCAAGGGCCGCCAGGGGGCACGCAAGACCAGGACCTGGGAGAAAGCCCGGCAGGGCGCACAGGCTCCTCCTTTCCCGCCAGTTCCCGCCCCGGGCTGCTCTGCTTGGGCCTATTTAGGCTTGCCTCACTCCATCCCAGTCTCCATTCATCTCTGTGCCTCGATTTTCTGCCTTCCTTGATGTCAATACTTTCTTGTTCTTTGCACCGGTTGACTCACCTTCCTTCAGATTCGTTTCCATTCCCTAGTCCTCCTTTGTGCGTCTCTTCTCCATATCCTTTTGCACCCCGTTTTCCTGCGCTCCCTATGACCACATTTTCCCAGTCCTCTTGCTCTTTCCATTTTCTCGCCCTCCTTTTCACCCCCATGTTTGAGCCCTCAGCCTCTGGCTCTGAAGCTCCTTTTTCAAATGACCTTTTTGAGAAAGATGTGGAAGGACACACTCCTGGCTGTGAATGGTGGTGGTATGTGTAGGACACAAGCAATCCTCTTGCCTGGTTCTACATGCTCTAAGGAGCAGAGCATTTAACAAATATTGCTTGCTGTTCCTATTAGGTGGTCACAACACCAACTCATGGTGACCGCATGTGTGCAAGGTAGAACTGCTCTCTAGAGGGTTTTCAAAGCTGTGGCCCTCGGGAAATGGATTGCCAGTCCTTTCTTCCTGGTGCCTCTGGAAGAGTTCGAACTGCCAACTCCAGCTAGTAGTCAAGTGCTTAACTCTTTGTGCCATCCAGGGCCTTCTTTGACAAACATTAAATTAATTAATTAAAATGTGATTCACTTTCTCCCTTTGAGTGGGGGGCCCAAGGTCAGAGCAGATTGTGAAAGCTTTGCGTGCTCTGGGAAATGGACACAGACCCAATCCAGGGCTGGACAGAGGGGATACTAGGCTGGGGTGGTGTGAACTCAGACCTGGTGGGGCAGGGGCAAGGTGGGGGGCTGCAGGAGTTGGGCAGTGCCTGGATGATATTTTTGCCCCCAAATGCTCTCTTGGTCTCTAGCATCACCCAGAAAAACCCAGAGGCTGATGACTCATGATTTCCCCAAATTGTGGCTGAAACAGCCTCAGAGGGACAAGGACAGGCTCACTAGAGGGGTAGTTTCCATCCCATGCCTCTTGGGGTTTCAAAGCCCAACCTTGTCTCTGCTTCTTGTATGGCCTCAGCTCATCCCTAGGTTTCTCTGAGTTCTACAAGAAGAATGGGGCCAAGGAAGCTAACGTGTAGACCGGGGCTTTAGGCGTCTACCGCTTATAGCTACTGATGCTTCATGGGCTCTCTCTCTTTTTTTTTCCCCTGTGATTTTTTTTTTGTTTTTTAATAATTCACTTAATTTTTTACTGTCAGTGTTGAGACTATACAAACAGAACAGACACCAATTCAGTTGTTTCTACACGGCCCGTTCAGTGGCACTGATTATAGTCTCTGAGTTGTACCATCACCTCCACCCTCCTTTTCTGAGGTGTCCCTCCCCATTCACATAAACTTCCTGCCCCTATGTTTCCTACCTAACCTTTCGAGTTTCTGTTGTCAATTGGAGTCCTGGAGCGTCTTCACTCATTCATTCTGCACCAGTTTCTTGTGAACCTACTGTGTGCCAGGCCCCGGGGACATAGCTGTGAAGAGGACAATCCAGGGGGAGGTGCCAACCACTGGAGTGTTGAATTCTGAGCCACAAAGACCTGATGCCATCAGGGGGTTCCCGGGGCAGGGTGATGCCTTCTCTCCACACCCATTGTGGCCTGTTAGGAGGGTGAGGAGTGACCAGGTGCAGTTTGGGATATCTGCCTCCCTCACTGTCCCAATGAGTCCTCCTCCAGCATCTGATTGTGATGTGACAAAAACTAATGACTGAGGCGGGGCAGCCTGGGAAGAGAGGAGCAGAGTGAGTCAGCTTCAGTGACCCCTCACCCTAGACCTCTGCCATCTTGGGAAACAGTGACCCAGAGTTCTAAGAAGATGCTGACTTAAATGAAGACATTGCACAGAGCACCCAGGCCTGGTCAACATGGCTGAAATGCACACTCCATACTCCTCCTTGAAGAAGCTGTTGTTTTTCCTCAATGGCCTCCTGGCGGTAAGTATGTCACAATCCCAGGCCCCACAGCTTCACAGCCCTTCCTCCATGGCTGGTTCCCTCCAAGACAGAAATAAGTTGATCCAAATTCATAGCCTCCCAGATCTGTGGTCCCCAGGGCAGCAGGAGGGATGTAGGGCAGACTGCCATGGAACAGGGCACATTGGAAACAGGCTGACAGAGACTTACCCAGAGCTGGTGAAATAGCACTGAGGAGCGGGGTCTAGGGACCCGGGGTTGGGATGGAAGAGCCTAACTCTGAGGCAAATCCTGCAGAAAACCAAGGAAGGCAGGATAAGGGTGTTTTATTTTCTTGATCTCTTAAAATTTGTTCTTATTATGAAAGGAATTTAAGTGTGCATTGTTAAAGAAGTAATTGTTTTAATTGTGGTAAGTGTTAAGAAAGGCTTCCAGGCAAGGGAAGGATATGAAATATCACACCTCATCCTCATACTGGAGCCCTGGGGTACAGTGCTTAAGTGCTGGAGGCATCCTGGTACTGACTCACAGAGGCTTGAACTTACCAGCTGTTCTGAGGAACAAAGATGTCGAATCTGCTTCTTCCAACTACTTACAACCTCAGAAACACTATAGGGCAGTTTGAACTGCAAGGTCGGTGGTTCAAGCTCACCAGCTGCTCCTTGAAAACCCTATACAGGATATGTGACGGGAATCAATGTGAAGCTGATGTCCTCCTACATAAACTATCACATAATTCACAATAAAGCATTGGGAAAAAAAACAAAACCCTATACAGGGTCGCTATGGGTCAGAATCGACTTGACGGCACTTAACAACAATTACTGTCCTCTAAAGTCACTGAGTCAGAATCTTCTCGAAGGCAGTGGGTTAAGCTTGGAAATCTTGTCAACTGGCTTAACATTCTGATGTAGACATTAAAGGAGGCTTATGCAATGTTGGTCTGAACCGCAAGATCGGCGGTTCAAATCCACCAGCTGCTCCTCGGAAACCCTATACAGGATCACTATGAGTCAGAATCGACTAAATGGCACTTAAAAACAACAACATGCCTGCCATGACATTATTATGTTTTACATGATTAACTTTCATCAATTATCTAATAAATATTTTAAGTGTTCATTATTCAATTATAATATTGTTTTAATTTTAATGCCATGCTCTATATTATTATGATGTGTTATATTATTGTTGTTAAGTGCCATTGAGTCAGTTCTGACTCCGAGTGATTTTTTTTTTAAGGTTTTTATTGTGGATTGAGTGAAAGTTTTCAGGGCACATCATCGGTTTCACATTCAAACATTCATATACCTTGTTTCATTACATTGATTATAATCCCCTCCACATACCATCAGTTAACAGAGTTTCTCTCTATCCTCTTTAGCTTTTTTTGGGGGGAAAAACTTTGCCTTTTTGGAATTTACAGTCTCGGCTTTTAGGGAAGGTTTTACATTTATCTGTGGCTATCCAGGGCTCATGTATGGAATTACTATCCAGCATAACTGAATAATCAGATGAGGGACAGTTTGCTATGTCTGCTAGGTAGCTAAAGTCTGATCCTCAGAGCCTATGGTTTGGACGGTCAGCAACGCTCAGGCCCACAGGGTTGACTCCGAGTGATTTTGTATAGGGTTTTCAAGGCTTTTTAGATCTTTGCGGAATCAGAAAGCCAGGCTACATCGTTCTCCCAAGGAATGGTTGATGGGCTCGAACCACCGACCTTTTGCTTCAGAGCTGAATGCTTATACCCCGGAACATGATTATTCTATTTATGTTCACCATTATTATATCCTTCCAGTCTTTAACAGCAAAAAATGCATGAGATGCTATTGTTTTACAATTCATTTTTTTAAACCTGTTAAGGTTTTAAAAGAAATATTATATATATTTGCAGTTGGGAATATACGCAACAAAACATACACCGAGCTAACAGTTTCTCCATGTACAATTCCATAACAACGGCTACATTCTTCAACTTGTGTGACCATTCTCACGCTCCTTGTCCGAGTTGTTCCTCTCCCATCAACATAAACTCATCTTCATTCCTGTCATCACTTTTATCCCCTATGGATAGTTCTTAAGAGAGCATAATGTCCGAGGCATATATTCTTTGGTTTTAAGAAGACTTTAGGGAATTATTTTTGGTTGGATAGTTCTTAAGAGAGCATAATGTCCGAGGCATATATTCTTTGGTTTTAAGAAGACTTTAGGGGATTATTTTTGGTTGGATAGTTCTTAAGAGAGCATAATGTCCGAGGCATATATTCTTTGGTTTTAAGAAGACTTTAGGGGATTATTTTTGGTTTCAGATTTGAAGATAATCTCAGGACAATCGTGTTGGGGTCCTTCAGCTTCCTTGACTCCAGAATGTTTGGATTCCATGAGAATTTAAAGTTCTGTTCTGCTTTCAAAATGCATTAAGTTTTCATAAATATTCTCCTACAGCAGCCTTGCCTATTTTTTATAAATCATTATTAGAACACGGCAAAGCCTGTTTTGACTTTGTAGACCATCGGGTCTACAGCTGGTTTTGAACTACAGGCAGAGCTGACTAGTTTTAACAGAAACTTTATAGCCTTCAAAACCAACAGTATTTACTAGCTGGAGTTTTCCAGAACACACACACACACATATATACATACACACACATACATCTATGCATATATACACACACTCATATATGTATACACACACATATATATACATATGTGCACACACACACACACATATATGCATACACACATACATATATACACACACACATATATATATACATATACGCACACACACATATATATACATATATATACATACACACACATACATCTATACATATATACACACACACATATATATATATACATACACACATACATCTATACATATATACACACACATATATATATATACACACACACACACACATATATATATATATATATACACACACACATAATTAAACCCTGCCCTTGTTAGCTTCTGTTGTTGTTGTTAGGTGCTGTTGAGTCGGTGCCAACTCAGAGACCTTACTGACAGCAGAATGACACACTGCCTGGCCCTGGGTCCCCCTCACAAGCATTGTTCGAGCCCATTTTTGTAGCCTTTGTGTCTACCCATCTTGTTGGGAGTCTTCCTCTTTGTCACTGACCCTTTACTCTGCACGATGTCCTTTTCCAGGGACCGGCCCTTCTGATAACATGTCCCAAGTATGTGAGATGAAGTCTCACCATTTCCAAGGAACATGCTGACTGCCCTTCTTCCAAGACAGATTTGTTTGTTCTTTTAGCAATCCATGGTACTTTCAATTTTCTTTACCAACATAATTTAAAATAACTGCCTAGAATCATGTTGTTGTTGTTATGTGCCGTGGAGTCAGTTCCGACTCATAGCGACCCTGTACAGGGTTTCCAAGGCTGTAAATCTTTACGGGAGCAGAAAGCCTCCTCTTTCTCCCGCAGAACAGCTGGTAGTTTCGAACTGCTGACCTTGCCATTCGCAGCCCGATTCGTAACCGCTACACTGCTGCCTGGCTATACCGTGATTTACCTACTTCCATTGTTTGTATTGGTTTGTTCTTATAAACTATGATGGAACAAGCATCTCTGGGTATCCTGGTATTGAGGCACACCCAGGATTATTTTCTTTAGGATACATTTCTAGAAATAGAATTTTTGAGTAAAGGATTTACTTTAAAAAGCAAAACCTTCAGGGTTTTAAATATTTATTAGAACGTGCCCCTCCACCCCCAACACTAATATAATTGCTGCCCACCAACAATGTGTGAGAATGTTTTTCCACATCCTTACAAATTCTGGGTATTACCCTTTTGTAAATACTTGTGCTGATTTGATTGGTCTTTGCTCTATCCTCCCTCCCTTCAAGAAGAGTTCCATTTGTGTGCAACTCACGGATGGTTTCTCCTTTCTGGTTTCTATCCTTAGATGTCTGGCGTGTTCCTCATTGGCTTGGGCACCTGGACCAACGGACAGGCCACCCTGACGAGGGTCCTTGGCTTGTCTTCCACGTACCTCCTTCACATTGGCTACCTGTGTTTGGTGATGGGATGTATCGCAGTGCTACTTGGCTTTGCTGGGTGGTATGGAGTTACTAAAGAGAGCAGAGGCATTCTCTTGTTTGTAAGTTTGATCTGCACACAGACCCCAAAACTCCCCCTGACGTATAAACCCTTCATTGCACCCATGCAAATGCAAACGCCTTCTCCCACTCTCTCATATTCTTAGCTTTGTTTACAGTGCACCAGATATATCTACCGTTGTCTCTATGATGGGTCTTGTTTAGAACACCTCCCCTACCCAAAACTCTTTCAGTCTATTCCGAACAGAGCAGAACTGCCCCATGGGGTTTCTGAGGCTGTAGATCTTCACAGAGGCAGACTGTCACATCTTTCTTCTGAGAAGCAGCTGGTGGCTTCAAACTGCTGATCTTTTGGTTAGCCAACCAATGCTTTACCCACTGCACCACTAGGACTCCTTTTCCTCTCTCCAAGGTCATGAATACAATATTCTTCTAGGATTTCTTCCTATAATTAAAAATCTTGATTTGTCACATTTACCTTTTTAGCCTTTGGGAATTGAATTATGTATGTGGTGTGAGGTAGGGAATCTAATTAGATTTTATTTTTCTCCCAGTCAGGGGATGTATTGGTGGTTGGACCATCTGGTCCTCCTCTGTCTATTGTTGTTGTTACCCCTGTTAGGTGCCATCAAGTCGGGA